AGAGAGAGAAAAAAGATCACGTACAAAGGAAAACCCATCAGGCTATCATCAGATTTCTCAACAGAAACCTTACAGGCCATAAGGGAGTGGCATGATATACTTAATGCAATGAAACAGAAGGGCCTCAAACCAAGAATACTCTACCCAGCAAGGTTATCATTTAAATTTGAAGGAGGGATTAAACGATTTTCAGATAAGCAAAAGCTGACAAAATCTACCCCCAAAAAACCACCTCTACAGTGCATTTTGGAGGGACTCCTATAGATGGAGATATTCCTAAGACTAAATAGCTGTCACGCAAGGGTGTACACAAAGAGTACAGAATATGATTCATAACTTACAAAGAGTGGAGGAGGAAGAAAAAGGAGGAAAAAAAAAGAATCTTTAGGATGTGTTTTTAATAGCACAAGAAGTGAGTTAAATTAGACTGTCAGATAGTAAGGGAATTACTCTTGAACCTTTGGTAGCCACAAATCTAAAGTCTGCCATAGCAACAACTACCTACCTATCGATAATCACCCTAAATATAAATGGTCTGAATGCACCAATCAGAAGACATAGAGTCACTGAATGGATAAAAAAACAAGACTCATCTATATGCTGCCTACAAGAGACTCACTTCAAACCCAAAGACATACACAGACTGAAAGTAAAGGGATAGAAAAAAGATATTTCATGCAACTAATAGGGAGAAAAAAGCAGGAGTTACAGTAGATGTATCAGACAAATAGACTTCAAAACAAAGTCACAAGAGACAAAGAGGACATTACATAATGATAAAGGGGTGAGTCCAACAAGAGGATATAACTATTATGAATATCTATGCACCCAACACAAGATCACCTACATATGTGAAACAAATACAAACAGAATTAAAGGAGGAAATAGAATGCAATGCATTCATTTTGGGAGGCTTCAATACACCACTCACTCCAAATGACAGATCAACCAGACAGAAAATAAATAAAGAGACAGAGGCACTGAACAACGTATTAGAATAGATGGACCTAACAGACATCTACAGAACACCCCATCCAAAAGGAACAGGATACATATTCTTCTCAAGTGCACATGGAACATTTTCAAGGATTTATCATATATTAGGCTACAAAAAGAGCCTCAGTAAATTAAAAAAGATTGAAATTGTACCAACCAGATTCTCAGATCACAAAGGTATGAAACTAGAAATAAATTATGCAAAGAAAATGAAAAAGCCCACAAACACATGGAGACTTAATAACATGCTCCTAAATAGTCAATGGATAAATGACCAAATAAAAACAGAGATCAAGCAATATATGGAGACAAATGACAGCAATAATTCAATACCGCAAAATCTGTGAGATGCAGCAAAGGCCACGCTAAGAGGGAACTATATTGCAATACAGGCCTATCTCAGGAAAGAAGAATTCCAAATGAACTTAAACTCACAATTAATGAAACTAGAAAAGGAAGAACAAATGAGGCCCAAAGTCAGTAGAAGGAGAGACATAATAAAGATTAAGGCAGAAATAAATAAAATTGAGAAGAATAAAACAATAGAAAGAATCAATGAAAGCAGGACCTAGTTTTTCAACAAATAAACAAAATAGATAAACCCCTAGCCAGACGTATCAAGAAAAAAGAGAGTCTACTCACATAAACAATCAGAAATCAGAAAGGAAAAAATCACTATGGACACCACAGAAATACAAAGAATTATTAGAGAATACTATGAAAAATTATATGGTAACAAACTGGATAATCTAGAAGAAATGGACAACTTTCTAGAAAAATACAACCTTCCAAGGCAGACCCAGAAATAAACAGAAAATCTGAACAGACCAATTACCAGCAACAAAATTGAACTGGTAATCAAAAACCTACCTAAGAACAAAACTCCTAGACCACATGGCTTCACCACTGAATTTTATCAAACATATAGTGAAGACTTAATACCCATCCTCCTTAAAGTTTTCCAAAGAGTAAAAGAGGGAATACTTCTAAACTCATTCTATGAGGCTAGCATCACTCTAATATCAAAACCAGGCAGACACCACAAAAGAAGAAAATTACAGACCAATATCCCTGATGAACATAGATGCAAAAATACTCAACAAAATATTAGCAAAACAAATTAAAAAACACACCAAAAAGATCATCCATCATGATCAAGGAGGATTTATTCCAGGGATGCAAGGATGGTACAACATTCGAAGATCCATCAACATCATCCACCACATCAACAAAAACCACATGATCATCTTCATAGATGCTGAAAAAGCATTCAACAAAATTCAACATCTATTCATGATAAAAACTCTCAACAAAATGGGTACGGAGGGCAAGTACCTCAACATAATAAAGGCCATATATGAAAAACCCACAGCCAACATTATACTAACAGCGAGAAGCTGAAAGCTTTTGCTTTAAGATTGGGAGCAAGACAAGGATGCCCACTCTCCCCACTTCTATTCAACATAGTGTTGGAGGTCTTAGCCACGGCAATCAGACAACACCAAGAAATAAAAGGCATCGAGACTGGCAAAGAAGAAGTTAAACTGTCCCTGTTTGCAGATGACATGATATTGTACATAAAAACCCCTAAAGAATCCACTCTAAAATTACTAGATCTAATATCTGAATTCAGCAAAGTTGCAGGATACAAAATTAATACACAGAAATCTGTAGCATTCCTATACACTAACAATGAACCAGCAGAAACAGAAATCAGGAAAATAATTCCATTCAAAATTACATCAAAAGGAATAAAATACCTAGGAATAAACCTAACCAAGGAAGTGAAACATATATACTCTGACAACCACAGACACTCATGAGAGAAACTGAAGAAGATACCAATAAATGGAAACACATCCCATGCTCATGGATAGGAAGAATTAATATTGTCAAAATGGCTGTCTTGCCTAAAGCAATCTACAGATTCAATGCAGTTCCTATCAAAATACCAACAGCATTCTTCAATGAACTGGAGCAAATCATACTAAAATTCATATGGAACCACAAAAGAGCCCGAATAGCCAAAGCAATTCTAAGAAGGAAGAATAAAGCTGGGGGGATTATGCTCCCCAATTTCAAGCTCTACAAAGCCACAGTAATCAAGACAATTTGGTACTGGCACAAGAACAGACCCATAGACCAATGGAACAGACTAGAGAGCCCAGATATAAACCAAACCATATGTGGTCAATTAATATATGATAAAAGAGCCATGGACATACAATGGGGAAATGACAGCCTCTTCAACAGCTGGTGTTGGGAAAACTGGACAGCTACATGTAAGAGAATGAAACTGGATTATCGTCTAACCCCATACACAAAAGTAAACTAGAAATGGATTAAAGACCTGAATGTAAGTCTTGAAACCATAAAAGTCTTAGAGGACAACATAAGGAAAAATCTCCTGCCTATAAGCATGAGCTTCTTCCTGAATGCATCTCCTCGAGCAAAATGAAGGCACATGAAAAGATGCTCCATGTCGCTAATCATCAGAGAAATGCAAATTAAAACCACAATGAGATATCACCTTACACCAGTTAGGGAGGCCACCATCCAAAAGACAAACAACAACAAATGTTGGCGAGGATATGGAGAAAGGGGAACCGTCCTACACTGCTGGTGGGAATGTAAATTAGTTCAACCACTATGGAAAGCAGTATGGAGGTTCCTCAAAAAGCTCAAAATAGAAATACCGTTTGACCCAGGAATTCCACTTCTAGGAATTTACCCTAAGAATGCAGCAGCTCAGTGTGAAAAAGACAGATGCACCCATATGTTTATTGCAGTACTATTTACAATAGCCAAGAAATGGAAGCAACCTAAGTGTCCATCAGTAGATGAATGGATAAAGAAGAGGCGGTACATATACACAATGGAATATTATTCAGCCATAAGAAGAAAACAAATCCTACCATTTGCAACACCATGGATGGAGCTAGAGGGTATTATGCTCAGCGAAATAAGCCAGGCAGAGAAAGACAACTATCAAATGATTTCACTCATCTGCGGAATATAAGAACAAAGAAAAAACTGAAGGAACAAAACAGCAGACTCACATAACCCAAGAATGGACTAACAGTTACCAAAGGGAAAGAAACCGGGGAAGTTGGGTGGGAAGGGAGGGATAAGGGGGAAAAAGGGGTATTAAGATTAGCATACATAATGTAGGGGGCTGGGGGGATACAGGGAAGGCAGTATAACACAGAGAAGACAAGTAGTGATTCTAGCATCTCATTATGCTGATGGACAGTTACTGTAATGGGGTATGTGGTGGGGACTTGATAATAGGGTAGTCTAGTAACCATAATATTGCTCACGTAATTGTACATTAATAATAGCAAAATAAGAATAAACAAATAAATAAAAAGAAATAAAACAATACCATTTACGATCGCATCAAAAGCAATAAAATATTTAGGAATAAATTTTACCAAGGAGATAAAAAATCTTTACACTGAAGACTACAAAGCTTTGATGAAAGAAACTGAAGAAGACACAAAGAAATTGTAAGATGCATGGTGTTCATGGATTGGAAGACTATTGTTAAAATGTCCATACTACAAGCCATCTATAGATTGAATGCAATCTCTATCAAAATTCCAATGGTATTTTTCATGGAAATAGGAAAAACAATCCTATAATTTCTATGAAACCACAAAAGACCCCAGATGGCCAAAGCAATCCCGAGCAAAGGGTACAAAGGAAGCACTAGCATTTTTGTTAGCAACTTTTCTGCAAGTCTAAAATTAGTTAAGGATAAAAGGTGAAAATTATGGAAGACGGAAAAAAAGCAACGTTGTTTCTTAAAGTTATTGGTTTAGCATGGCAGACACAAGGTCTCCCTGGGTGGTTGTGTGGATGTTGTGTTGGGTGGGGATGTGGAGGGGTCCATCCATGCACGTTCAGGCGCTGCATTCAGGGCTCCCGATCTCTCCTCGGTCGCAGCCTGGACGGGGACTCAGTGGGGGCGGGGAGTCAGTCCCGCTACAAAGGCTCCTCCCTACAAAGACGCAGAAAGGTGCGCGTCTGCGCCAACACCTGGCTCTACACCCCGCTTCCGTAGGGCGGCACTGGGAAGTGGGCACCTGTCGGGTTCGGGCTCTGCGTGGGGCTGTCCTCTCCTCGGTGCGCTCTCGGCATGGCCCTCTGTTTGGCGCCCGCTCTGCTGCTGCTTCTGGGTGAGTGGCCTCCTTGTCCTCCGCGCCCCTGAACCCTGGCCTCTCTGTCCCAGGGGATACAGTGGCAAGGCAGGAGGACCGCAGGAAGGGGCATTGGCGAGAGATTTGTGCACGGAGCGCGGAGACGCCTGGCAGTCCGCACCGGCCGCTCGCCGTGCACCCCGCTTCCTGCCTTCGGGCCGGCTGCGGAGCCACCCTCTCCCAAGCCCTGCTTGGTAACCCTGCCCCAGAAACTTTCTTTTTCCTATTGCCTCCCCTCTCCCACCTCTCTTCACCTTCTCAGAGACCCAGTTCTCCACCTTCAGTCTGGGAGCTTAACCCTGATTGCTTGTCCCGCATCTGCCAGTCCCACCTGCTTCCCCTTCCCAGCTGGCGCATGCGGAGGGAGGGGTCACTTTACGCGCTGGTCGGGTGGGGAGCATGGAATCTGACAAAGGTTTAAGGCAGAGGAGATCCTGGAGCTGCGATGTGGGTGGAGATGAGGTAAGGGTGCTCCTGGCAGAAGGAGACAGGTAAGCAAAGGAGGAGAGGTGTGACCAAGACTTTAGGCGACACTAGGTGCTACTGTGTGTGGCTGAGGCCTGGGGATGCGAGCGGTTTGGCTGGGAGAGAAAGGTACAGTTTGCCTGCTTCTGGAGGAGGGAAAGGCAGGGGAGGTGAAAGGAGGGGCGCCCCTCTTGTCTACCCCCTCCACTCACTGGCCCGTGCCAAGCCCTCAGTATCTACCGGTCCTTCCTGCAGAGCAGAGCGTGCTGAAGCCACAGCAAGACTCACCATGGCCCCTGCTATCCAACCCAGGGCTCTAGGAGGAGCTGTGGCCAGCGCCAGAAAGGGGCCCTGCTCCCAGCCCTGAAGCAGGAGACACCCCTCTTTCTACACACACGGGAGATTGGGCCTAGTCAGGCTGGGAAACTTCCCTCAGACTGAGGTGCTCCCTGGGGCTCAGAGCACCAAAGGGTGGGGCTGGCCTCGTTTTTGGTGACCTAGGGCCTAGACAGGGGCTGCCAAGTCCTGACCTCCCAGACCCTGCCTGGCTTGGCCTCTAGGGGAGTGCCACCCATCATGGCCCCCTGGGGCCTGACGCTCAGAAGAGAGCCCTGTGGCCTGCCATCAAGGACTTCTCTCGAATCCACACCCCAGCAGCCAGGTCCAAATGGGCCTGCCAGTGCCCAGAGCCCTTGCGAGGAAATCCCTCTTGCGCCTGGCTGGTGGAGAAGGGCTCAGGGGCCAGGGGAAGCCAGAGACCAGATGGGGCAGCACAGTTCAGACCACCGGAAAGGGGTCACAGGAAAGGGAGGGACGCCAGCAGCAGGGGGCAGGAGGAGGCGCACTAGAAGGTCAGGAAGGAGGGAGAAACATAAATCTGCAGACCCCCTCAAAGGTCTCCATGGGGGAGGCGGGGAGGGGAAAGGAGGAAACCTCCAGGTTCCCAGCTTGGCAGGGAGAGAGGAAGAGGAGCGGCTACGGTCTTCAGCGTCGTTTCTGATAGGTTTCCATTAGCCAGCTCCCCAGGAGCCTGGCTCTATCCCGCGTCAGCCGGGGCCCGGTGGGAGGGCACCCGTGGGCTCCTCTTTGAATGGCTGTGGTCGTTCCGGGGCAGGGATGGTGCCTGGGGAGGATAGACCTCAGCATGTGCTGAAGGCCGGCCCCCCTCGGTGTGCCCCATCCATCCCAGAGGTGTTGCGGGAATCCGAGAGCCCGCTGCCGCCCATCCCCTCTATGGAAGGCAGGTCAATGCCAGACGGTCACACCTTCCAGCCACATTCTGTACCCCTTTGGGTTCTGAGCGCCCTGCACCTTCGGAGGGTGTGGCGGGAGTGGGGAGCGGGGCGGAGGCGAAGGGTACAGCTACGATTTACCAAGAATTGCAGCCCGCCTGCCCTTCCCAGGGTCGCCGAGCTCTGCCGGACCAAACCGTTGCGTGGACGCGGCCGAGGCGTGCACTGCGGACGCGCGTTGCCAGCAGCTGCGTAACCAGTATGTGGCTCAGTGCCTGGGTCGGGCCGCGCTCGGGGGCTGCCCCCGCACCCGCTGCCGCCGCGCCCTGCGCCACTTCTTCGCCCGCGGGCCACCCGCGCTCACCCACGCGCTGCTCTTCTGCCCTTGTGCCAACCCTGCGTGCGCCGAGCGCCGGCGCCAGACCTTCGTGCCCGCCTGCGCCTTCTCGGGTCCCGGCGGGGAGCCGCCCTCCTGCCTGGAGCCCTTAGACGCCTGTGAGCAAAGCAGGATCTGCAGGTGCTGTCGGGGTGCGGGAGGGTCAGGGGAGGGGGTAGGTTTGGCGGGGCGGGGGTCCGCAGGTGAGGGCAGGTGTGGGAGGCGGCGGGGCGGGTCCGGGTCCCCGGGTGCGAGTAGGTGAGGGAGGCGGCGGGGTGGGGCCGGCTGTCGGCTCACCGCCCTCTGGCCATGCCGCGCAGACCCCGTTTCCTGGCCTTCCAGGCCTCCTGTACGCCAGCCCCGAGCGCCCCTGACGGCTGCCTGCCCGACCAGGCCCCCCACTGCCTGCGCGCCTACGCGGGCCTCGTGGGTACGCACAGCCGGGAACCGGGCGCGGGCGGCGCTCTCCCGGGGATGCCTTCGCCTGCGGGGGCCGACTACCCCGCCCTCGGTCCCGCAGGCACCGCCCTCACCCCTAACTACGTGGACAACGCGAGCGCGCGCGTGGCGCCCTGGTGTGGCTGCGGAGCCAGCGGAAACCGGCGTGAGGAGTGCGAAGCCTTCCGCGGGTTGTTTACGAGGAACCTCTGCTTGGGTGAGGGGGCGAGGCGGCGAGGCGGGGCGTGGAAAGGGTGGTCGGCTTTTATAGTCCCCTCCCAAGCCGCCTGGCTGGCTGGACCCTATTTTAGAGATGAGGAAACTGAAGCTGTTTGAGGCAGCCACGCAGGCCCACTTCACTCTCCGCTGTCGACCTGCCTCTGGGGAAGTGCGCGCTCAGCTGTCCCCGCAGACCAGGTCACAGACTGGAGAGTCCAGTCCTAGGGATGTCTAGGCTGGGGCCCCTGGGATGGGCGGGAGGTCCGTAAAACAAGTTCCCGGGGAGCTGGAATGGAACAAGGTGATTCCTGCTTCCTCCACTTCTGAGGAGGTTGCACCCTTGAGGCCCTCCTAACTCTCCCTGTTGATGATTTCGCCTTTTGGGTCTGAATAGCTGGCTGGTCTGCTGCCCAGTCTTGGGAGGTAGGGGGCCTGAATTTGATGCCCAACGCTGCCACTTAACAGCTGAGAGTTAACTCCTCTGAACTTTTTTTTTGCCCATCTGTAAAATGGGGCTAGTAATTGTCACCCTCCTCTGTGGGACTGGAAGACTATACAGTTTGTAAGGCACTTTTAAGCATGGTTGACCTGATTTATTCTTCACCCTGTGCCTTCCATCCTAGAAGCCAATCCTGGAAGGCATCCTATCCTTTCATCCCTGTGTGGGAGAGCCCACTGGCAGGATGTCAGGGGTCTCAGTTTGTCCCCAAGGAGCTGGGCCCTGTGCTGGGCTTTCCCAGCCAAGCCCACCCTGCACACCTTCCTCCATAGATGGAGCCATACAGGCCTTTGAGAGCAGCGGGCCCCCAATCCTGCAGAACCAGCTAGATATCCACCAGGACCCTGAGAACAGCCTCCTGCAGGTAGGTGGAGGGAGGGAATGGTGAGCTGGCAGCCCCTGCACTGCCTTCTTCCATACACTTCCACCCCAGGTGGGCCCAGATGGAAGCATGAATGGCCTGGGATGGGGGTGGTGGAAGCAGAGAGTGGAGCCAGGTTCCTGCCTCAAGTCCATGTTCTGCTCCACTGCCCCCACCCCACCCTCAAGGTATCCTCTGCAGAAGGGCTCTTGGAGGAGAGCTGTCTGCTCTCCATGCTCCCTGTCCTGGCTCTCCAGCTCCTGTTCTGACTAGAACAGCAGACCTGAGACAACACAGCCAACTGTCCCACCCTGCCCTAGGTTCAGAGCCATGTCGGTGGCCTGCTGCTTCACTGAAAGGAGACTGGCTTACCTCCCAAGCTGGCCCAGTGCTCTTGCCAGGCTGTTCCTTGCAGGTCTGGACACCTCCTGTGACTGCCCCTGGAGCAAGGGATGTAGGGTGAGGGCCTGGTGCAAAGCCCACTGCTACCTTTCAGTAGGTTTCTTGGTTGTAGGTCCCTTTCTCCAAGGTCTGTGGGGTCTTGGGATCTCCTTCAGAGTAGGAATGGGACAGGTTCATTCCTGTGTAGCTGAGGCCTCAGTGGGGTCTGAGATCACCTAGGGAAAGTCAGAGACCATCCAAACTCCCAGAAATATAGGAAATTTTATCAGCCCCAAGTAGATCATGTCCAAAGGGGTCCATCTGAACAGACTCCCTCCAACACTGCAGCCTTTAGTGGTACCCTCCCAGTTAGGCACTGCCTGTTACAGCCACCCGCCGGTGTTGGCCAAGCATTTCCTTTCCATGGTGTGCTGCTTGGTGGGCATGGCCTGGAGTGAGAACCAAGTTCCCCGCATTGCACATCCAGCCATCTTCCCCATGGTTTACCCAGCACAAGGAACAGCACCCACAGCTCAATAAACTGACATGCACAGAGACTGGCCTTGCTTTCTTGTGAAGTGTGTCCTGGGAGCCTGGAGACCAGGGTCAGCCACAGGTGTGCCTCTGCCAAGGCCTGGTGACCTCACATGGCCTCAGAACATTTCCGGGCTCCCTAGCTAAACTTGTGGATGCTACCGATCCAACTGTCTGGTCCTACTGGCTGAGATTTTGGTTGCTTTTGTTTATTCTTTCTTTCTCTGCTAGTACTCAGACAAGGAAATTATATTTTCCAGCACCCCTTTAGGCTAGGGGGTGGTCATGTGACCAGTCTGGCCAGTGAGCAGAAGTCACAGATAAGGCTTCCACGAGAGCTTTTTAAACAGGAGCAGACTTGCTGACTGGTTCCTTCAGCCTTTATCCTCAACCCACCCCTCTTCTTGCCCAGAATTTGGTGGCAATAGCTGGGGCATAGGTGCCATCCTGAAAATGGAGGGAGCCACATGACACTGTGAAGTCACTGCACCAGCCCCAGCCTGCCACCCTCTGGGCTCTTCATTACGTGATTATACCTCTAGTTTATGTACCTCTAGTTTGCTCAAGCCAGTTTCTGCCCAGGCATCTGTTATTTGCAGCCAAACATAGGCCTCCTCAGGTGCCTGGGATCACGCACTGTACCTGCTTAGGGGAGCCCTTCCTCGGTGCACACACAGCCCAACCCTGACACTTTAAAGAAGGAGTGATGGTTGTTTTTTGTTTTTTTTTTTATTCCCACACATTCTGCCTGCTTCTGTCCCTGTGGAGAATTGAATTCTTTCCTGGAGCTGAGGGAAATTTATCATAAAGGTTTTACACACACTGTGTGTGTGGTCAGTGTGGACCCAGTGAATGCCAAGGGTGCCGTGTTACTTTGTAGTTCTGTGAAGAAATTTGAAGAGGAGACCGCAGAACCATGAGGGCCCAGTATTAAGCCTTCTGCCCACTTCCTTCTTCCTCAAAAGCCTGGAGACTCCTGAAGAGTGAAGGGTCACCATGTCTCCTGGCTGCTCCTTTTCACACCCAGTTGAGGCTTGTCAGCAGCCATGAAACTGGCTGGGGTGGAGGCTGTTGGAGCCTTGTCAGAGACCTCTCTGGGCCAAAGCCACCCATCCCCGAGCTGCTGGCCACACTCTGCTTCCTGAGGCAAACTACGGCCAGTGACTGAGGGAGGGTTCAGAGGCCTGGCCGGCTTGCCTCAGGAGGGACAATTCTATGTGTCACTCATGCTCCAGAGCTCCTCGAAGGATCAGGCTGAGGCCAGATCCCAGCTGAGACCACATCCTAGCCTAGCTCCTTCCCCTGCCTACTCCTGCCTCTCTCACTTAGAGATTCCCCTGAGGGCACTCCCTCCAGTCCATCAGGGCCTGAGAATCCATTGTGGGCTTGGCTTCTGGAGAACCTGACCTAAGACATAGGGGTCAGGTACAGAACACACCGAACTCCAGGCCTGGGGCTGTGCTGACCAGAAAAAGAGCCACCAGCTTGGAGACTCTGTCTTAGCAACTCATTCCAAACCCACACATACCTCGTGTGGCAGCTGTCAACCAGCCCCCCAGCTTCAGCCAGCACTCTTCTGATTGGAACCAAGCACTCAAACTGGCTTGGGGCATGGAGCTGAGCAGTCCAGGCTTCAGGGACAACTGTCCCCAGGGGTCAAATGATGGTGCACCTGCTGGTCTGTGCATGGCTTCCCTGTGCAGCCAGTCTGGCTCTCACCACACGGTGAGTAAGAATGCCACCAGTGCCCCAGATTCACCATCCCTGCTTTAAGGAATCTCAGCAGAGAAAGGCACCTCTTCCCCAGAAGTCATGGACTGTCCCAGGCAGGACCCTAGTCGGCCCAACATGGGTTATAAGCCTTTTCCAGTGGCTTGGGGAGTGACATCAGCCCCCCAAGATCACATGGAATGGGAAGGACAGATTTCCAATGGGAAAAGGAAGGTGTTGGGCAGAGTGAAGCTCAGGCCCAACCTATTCTCATTTCATAAAGAAGAAGGAGTGTTCTCAGCCACTTTCACCTGCACAGCAATGGACGCCTGCAAGTGGGCCAGGGAAGGCTGGAGTGTATGTGTGTTGGGGGTGGGGCAGGGAAGTGAAAGCATCACCTTGCCCTGCTCACTGGCCGCCTGGTGGTCCCAGTGAAGGATTTCCTGTCTGCTAAGTATTTTACCTTATGTGAAGGTGCTAAAGTCTACTACTCTATTTGTTACTCAAATCAGAGTAAAATATAGGCATGTACTTACAAAAGATTGGGAAGATGAAAGTGAGCAGAACCTAGCTGAAAATAGCAAAATGTTTCCTGGCAGCTGCTGTCTTCTCTCAGTACTTCTCTCCAACTCAGGCATGGGGTTCAATCAAATGGAGCTTCTTTAACATTAGACAATGTGCAACAGAAAAGAAGCTTCCTTATCAGGTGCCGGGGAAAAATGAAAGATCACAGGGCCCCTGCTGCCTGGCTCTCTGTTTTATTCCCAGAATGAACATTCCTGTGTGGGAGGCTTGAGGCCGCCGGGGGCATAGAGCCAGGCAACTCTGAAGACAGAAGCCAAGGGGGGGCAAGGCACTGGGGCGTGCAAAGGCCACTGTCTTGCCCCACGAGGCCTGTTGACTTTCCTAGGGTTTTGCTGTTGTAGGGGGCTGAATACTGGCCCCAAGGACATTGTCCACATCCTAAGCATTGGAACCTGTGAAAGTTACCTTAGATGTAGGCAGAAGAGTAAATGTGCCTTATATAGCAGAAGATGTGATTAAGTTATGAATCTTGAGAGGAGGCACTTAGCCTGTATCTGAGTGGACCTTAAATGTCACATGCAGCCTTACAAGAGATGCAGAGGGAGATCAAACACACACACACAGAAGATAGGGCAACGTGAAGACTGGAAGGTTGGAGTGACATGGCCACGAGCCAAGGGGGTGCTGGCAGCCACCAGGCCCTAGAAGAGGCCAGAAATGGATTCTCCCCTGGACCTCCAGAGGAAGCACGGCCCTGCTAATACTGTGATTTTGGTGTGGCCTCCAGACCACGAGAACAGATTTCTGTTTTAAGCCACCAAGGTTGGGAAATCTGTTACAGCAGCCCAGGAAACTAAAATGAGTAGTCTGCATTTTGTCACTTCTGCCTAAAAAGGTTCTGGCTCACACATGGTACTAAGTGTGGCCAAAAGCCTCACGGCTGAGTCCAGCTGTGACCCCCACTATCAGGAACAGGTCCTGCCTTGCTCATCTACCTCTTAGCATCAACCTCTGTGTCCTTCCAGGTAGCCTGCTTGCTGTCACTCTCTCACATGAGCTCTGGGAGCCTGGGGTCCTGGCCCTGGCCTTGTCCCTGTGGGTGGGTCTCAGCTGTTGTCAACACTGAGCCTCTAGCTGGCAGGTGGCTGTGGGGTGGGGGTGGGGGTGAGGCAGAAAGGCAGGTGCTGGAAGCATCTGTGGATTTATTGGTGGAAATTTCATGGCTCATGGACACACACTCGGGTTTGAAGCCTGGTTTAAGTGTAAGATTGATGTGGGAACTGCTCACTGGCCACTTCCTTTTGCCACCTTCCTAGTCCAGTCAGGTTGGGCCAAACTCACAGAACCAGCTCATTTTTAAGGAAGTGTGGATGTTGGTGGGTGAAATTTCCAGAGCAGCAGAAGTGGGCTATACAGGGCTTCATGAGCCACCTCCCAGGTAGACAGCACCTTGCCAGTGAGTGGGCACCAGTATTGAAGGACACAGAGTCCTGGCCCTGCCTTTCCGGACTGCAGGCCTGGGAAGGCCTGGGTTGATGTCTTGGGAAGCTGTTCTGCCAGGGACACACTGCCCCACCCAAAAGGAGCCTCCAGTCTGCGGCAGAAGGTACAAAAAGAAAAATAGAGATGCATACACACACAGGAGAACAAAATGCACACATAACCTCAGAAACAGAGCCTCAGAGAACAGGATTAAGCAAACAAGAAGGGAAGGCCTACAGGGTGTGCAAACGGACCCGGCAGCAAGGGCAACCCCCAGCTCTGCGTGCAGGACATGCCATAGGTCGGAGGGCCATCTGCTCTAGTCCCTTTCTTGTGTGGGGGACACAGGATGGGAGAGAATTCTTGCTAGGCATGTTGTACAGCTGGTGCCTGCAGGGTGTGTCTGTTCAGCTGTGACTCCCATGTATGCGGTTGGGGACTCAGATACCAGGAATGACATTGTCATTAATGGCAGAATCTTCCAAAATGATGACCAGCTCTTGGTAAAGTTTTGAAGAAAACAAAGTTTGGTCTTCTCTTGATTTACACATTAGTTGCATTTTTGGAAAACTGTGTTAAACACGCTTGCAAATACTTTGGGTTCTACACTGTAATTAGGAACAGATTTCCTCATCTACACAACTATCCAGCAAGATGTTCAAAAACTGAGTGGGATGTGGATCAGTTGCTTGTTGGTCGGGACAGCCCTGCATGTCACAGGAGGAGCCACTGCATCACAGGAGTGCCTTCTGCTTCAATGCAGTGACCAAAATTGCCCTTTTATTTCCAAAATGTCCCCTTGGGAGCAGTCCTTTGCTGGGTGAGAACAGTATACTGCCCCACAGGACCTGGCCCGCCCCAACTCCTAGCACTGCTCCTGTAGCTGCTTTGCTCTAGCCATGTGGCTGCCTCACCGAGGCTCAAACCTCAGACCCACCTGCGCCACCGCTGGGCATTTGCACCTGCTGCCCCCCCCACCTACTATTCTGCACACTCTTCTCCCAGACGTCCTTTGCCAGCTCCCTCCTTTGTTCAGCTCCCTACGCCCTGCCACACACTGCTGTGCCCTAGCATTCACTAACCCTATCCTTACTTTTCTTCATAGAACTTACCATCTGACATCCTGTTCATTATCTGTCCTCCCCACTATGTTGTCATCTCAAGAAGACAGGGATTTTGTAGTGCCTGGTCCTTACACAATGCCTCGCCAGCTGACAGTGGCCAGACCGGGCAGGCCCTCCCGCAGGAAGGCAGGGGTGCAGACACAGGGCAGTCACTGGCCTACAGAAGTTTTGAAATCCTGCTGGGCCCCTCCTTGGAGTGGGGGCTCCCTGCACAGGCTGTGATCTGGTCTCTGAGCCCTGCTGAGGCGGCCGTGGGTGGTGCACCCTCCTCAGACACAGGGTCACAACCACCTCTGCCTGTGGGTGGGTCAGGCCGCCCCAGTGGGCACACGGTTGGTTGGTTCTTTAATTTTCAAGCCAGACTAATGGTTTCTTGGCCACATAATTCATTTTTCTTTCTTTTCCAGGCAGGTACAGGGTCAGTGATGGCATTCCAGGGTCTTTCCTGGCCAGCTCTCAAGTTGGCTTTCTTTGCTTCCCTATCCACACACCTCTCCATCAGGGCCTTGAGGCTGTGGGGCTCAGGCAGAACACCTCAACCTCATCTGATTCTCACCACTGTCTCACTGGGTCTTTGCTGCTCCCAAGTACCTCTTCCCCTTTGGAGACGAGAAGCAAGACTAGTTGCCTCTCCCGACACTACCAGACTGTGGATTTCAGTATTTTCCACCCCTTGCCTTTCTGTTTGTAAACTGGCTAATTCTTTCTGGAACTCAGCCCTTCGTGTTGCCTTCCAAAGACAGCCAATAACAACTACACACAACACATTGTTTTTTTTCCAGATTCTTCCCCCGGAGCTAAAAATTCAGTAGACATGTAGTTTGCTTGATTAAGTTTTCAAACAGAACAGGCTTGTCACACGTTTACTGCCGCCTGATAGGGACCCCAGCTTTTCTGCCTGCTGGGTCTGTTTCCTCCCTGCCCGCCACTAGGTCACTCAGCCAATGCCCCTCACATTAGGTTCTGGGTACTGTCGCACTGCACTTCAAGGTGCCCATTTGTGAACAGGGAGAGTTAAGAAAAGCTGCCTGTTGTATTATGCTCAGTGAAATAAGCCAGGCAAAGAAAGACAAATACCAAATGATTTCACTCATATGTGGAGTACAAGAACAAAGAAAAACTGAAGAAACAAAACAGCAGAATCACAGAACCCAAGAATAGACTAACAGTTACCAAAGGGAAAGGGACTGGGGAGAATGGGAGGGAAGGGAGGGATAAGGGTGGGGCATTACGATTAGCATGTATAATGTGGGGGGGGGGCATGGGGAGGGCTGTGCAACACAGAGAAGACAAGTAGTGACTCTACAGCATCTTACTACACAGATGGGACAGTGACTGTAATGGGGTTTGTTGGGGAGACTTGGTGAAGGGGGGACCCTAGTAAACATAATGTTCTTCATGTAATTGTAGATTAATGATAGCAAAATAAAAAAAAAAGGAAAGCTGCCTGTTGTAATAAACCCCCAATGTCAGTAGGTCACTACGGGAAGTTTGCTTTTCAGGGAGGCAAAGACCAGCACACAGCTCTTGAGGTGGCTTGCCTCTAAGTAGTGACTCAGGGACCCACCATCGCAACATCTTTAACACAGGACCTCCAGGGAGTCCCAGACAGGAGCATGGTATGTGCCAGACCTAGAACTGGTATACAGAACTTGTCCAATGTTTCTTTGATTGCAGCTCAGTTTATGGCCCCAACCTAACTGCAGGGGGCTGGGAAATGTTGGTTTGCGGGTTCAGTGTCAAAATATAACAGGTGTGGGGAACACACAGCACAGTCTCTGCCATAGTACCACCAAGTCACAGATTTTTATCCTACCATAACCATTTGGCGGCTCCCACAGCCCTCTCCAAAACAGCTTTGAGCAGTTCTTCAAGCTGACAGTGGCACCAACCCACTCATTTGCCTCTCTGGCCCTGACCCACACTCCCGTGGGCAGGCCTCCTCCAGGCTGCTGGACCCCTGGCCTGGTGCCTGGCCCCATCCTCCTCTAGATGAACCACTGCCCTTCCTATCTCAACCCCCATTACACTGATCTCTTCTAGGCCTTCTGCAGTCACACCAGGGTGCTGCAACACACTGTTCTGAGGCCAGGAGCTGCATAAAGGCTGGCACACAAGGCTTTGTGAATGGTAACTTCATCAAAAATTCCATACCAAGGACAATGCTGTGGCTCTGGCAACTGAACCTATCAGTATACCTGAGATTCAGCCCTTTGGAAATCTGGAGAGACATTCAGGATGCACAGGTGGGTGAGAAGCGTAAAGACCAACAGTGGCATGGCCCACACGCTGGTCTCCTTCCCCAGCACTGTCACTCCACGGGGGACGCAGGCTATAGTGAGGACGCTGGGAAGTCAGCTCGCAAGCCGTGCAGGGCTCTTCACCCCACAGGCTGAATGCACCCCAGCCAGCCGAGGAGTCTGAGGGGCCCACTCTGCTGGCTTTACACCTTCACCTTCACGGACTGCCAGGTGCTTCCTCTGGGGCTGTCTGAACACCAGTAACCACACTGAACATTTTTTTCCTTTTCTTAAGGTTCTAATGACCAAAGTGTAAAAATAAGTTGAAGAAACAAAATCAAAATTAAGCACATAACGTAAACCACATTTTTACCAGATCTACTTTTATTTCAGAAGTTTGTATTATAGTATTTACTTTTGTTTATATACAAGTTCTTCACATTTGTGTTTAAAACGCACAGACCTCCCTTAATTTTCTTGTTCCTGCTTAAATTAGCTGTTATTTTACAATACAAAAAATACCAAAAAATTGCAGTCCTAAATGTATGTATAACACCCACAGTCCCCAGCAATGAAATAGTTTACAATACTTACTCCATATTTACATGAGTGCAATAGATGCTAAATTATACATATTAACAAACTAAGCTTGAATCCAAACCAAAACAAAAACAAAAAGAAAACAAAAACCGTTAAGAGCTATAAAACAAAAACATTTCCAGAGCCAGAATTAGTTCAACAAAACAGGCTTCACTAGTGTTTTAGAATGTTTTGTGCACAAATTCAGTTACTGAAAGTCAATTTCATTATTGCCTTTAAAAGAGAAGGCGCCTGTTTTCCTCTCCAGTCCCAGCCATCGCCCTGCAGGATGGGTGTTAGTCTCAACAACTCTAGGAAAGTGTGTCTTGGCGGGCCTGGCTACCTGCAAACCATCACGATGATTTTTATGGTTGGAACTAAGTTTGAGAAATGGGGCAGACATTTCCAGCTGAGAGCCAGTGCACAGCCCGAGGACAGACCCTCTGCCTTCCCAGGTCCGTCCTCAGGATGGCCAATTCTCACTGAAACCACTATAGAGAAAGATCTCCCGGGGTGAGGGGTTTGAGGAGCTGGGTTCTGTTGTAATTCTGAAGAGCTTCTTTCCATCTTGGTCACTGCCCTAGCATGGATGTTAGCAAGTGCTTAGTGAGTAACCGTTGCATGACTGGAAAAACAAATGACACTGAAGGATCAAAGGTGCTCACGGAAGTGACACCACCACCCAAGGAAGTGAATCACTACCCCCAGCACACTCCACAAAGTTGAAGGAGTGAGATCTGCACTGAAGGGTAGTTCTTTTTCTACCAGCAGTGCTCTGGTCTTCTCATCTGTCTCAGGCCGCCCAGTGCAGCTCCTAGCTGGCACCTCAGGCTTCACCCAGAGATACTCTACTATTTTCCTTTTGCTCACAGTCCTCCTGTCCAGGGCTGCTTCTCCTCGGGCTTAGCTCAGCGGAGTGTGAGTTGCCTTCTTCCCACACCTCCTCCCACCTTTGAGGGGTGATGCTCACAGGGAAGCTGACTTCTCCCTAAACTGTGCTTAGGGAGTGGGTAGGAGGTGGATAGGCCAGGCCGTGTGGGGTTAGTTCCGTGTGCAGACATGACTATTTATCAATGAACCAGCCACCCCCAGTTGTCAGTATAGGGAACTGTAGTCCTAGGAAATGGTCATTAAAAGTTTAGACAAAATCACCTCAAAATGCAGCCTGGAAGACCCCTTTCTGGAAAATCTTTTTTCTATAGGTATAGTCTTTGAACTTAAGACACTAAGAGAAACATTTCTCAGGATGAGACGGGTCATCCCTGCCACCACCCACAGCACCAAGAGGCTATCAGAAAGACCCCCAACGCACTGCAGAGCCAACAACAGTGACAGAGACATTCCTGCTGCCTTCGAGTCTCTTCACACACTGCTGTAAAGGGACCAGATGCCCGGTTCTTCCTACGTGTACTGTTAGACGATTTCTGAGTTAGGAGTTATTCCATTGGTACCAGATGCACTTGAGCACATCAGCACTAGGGGGATGCCTTTCTTGGCTTTGCTATCGAACTTACAGGGCCTATAAGGAGGAGCTCTCTGAACTTGGATATCCAGTAGATGGCACAAAACATACTGGGTGAAACTCAGACACCATTACACGTAATAAAAATACATTAAGATAGTTTTCTGTTTTATGTACACTCTGAATGTCTGAACATTCTGGGCAGTACTGTATAAGTTATGTACAAGCATATCAATGTTTTCATGACTATTTTAATTTATATACAGGCTCTCCCGTGACACGCAGGCATTTCTTTGAAGTTCCACGTGACTCTCTTGGTAACTGGCTCTAAGCTGAGTGCCTCTTTCTCCTGTCACTCCTTTCCTCTGGCCTGAGCCTGGAGGAAGCTGTTTGCTAGTAGCTGCAAAGGAAAAGCAGATGGATCAGCTGCTACTCCACTGTTGGAGTGGAATTAAACAAAACTTGCTCCTTCTTTCCTTCCTTTTTTAAAAAAACATTATCTTTTAGGAAAAATAAATAACCAGGTGGCTATGTGACATGCTGCATGTTATTTAAAGGTATGGAACACCCATGGGGAAGGGACTCCTTTGGCCAAGGAAACACTGGTCTTTTGGACAAACAAGGATTTTCCTAGTGAGAGGACCCTCTTAGTGGCCTCCCTCTCTCTGCCAAGAGGCCTTGTGGCAATTACAGGGGCAAAGGGCCAGTTCATGGCAGGCTCTCTGTGGGGGGCCATGATCTGGAGGGATATGGGGAATGTAGAACAGGAGGGGTCTTTTCTAGAACTGTCTGCTCTTTAACAATGATGTGAAAAAGCAGCTTTCTGAGAGGCAAGCCTCAAAGTAGAGGTGTTTTGTACATCAGTGTTCTATGGTTCAACTTCCTTGATAACATCTTTCCAGGCAACTCTTCAAGGGCATGCGGTTAGCACTGGGGAAGAGAGAGTTCTCTCTCTCTAGGCACTGCATTTAAAGGTGAAATGCCGCAGTCTTTGCTCTTTTGAGTATTAATTTCTCCAAACTCACAAACTTAATCATTGTTGTCTAAAGGTCCATCCCAACAGGGTACTGCGACAAGAACCCTGGGTTTTGAAGAAGAGATCTCAGGAGGCTGCTGAATAATGTCAGAATACAGAGCACCACAGACAAGGCCAACTCAACATCTGGGCAGTGCCATGGGGAGAGGAGCAGGGACCCACTTCAACTGGTCACTTCCTGTTTAGCATAGTCCTTCCTCCTCCTCCTTTTTTCCATGTGCTTTTCATCTTTATCAGCATTTGCGGCCCTCTCCATGGCCACTGCCTGCTTCTTGGAAGGAGGCTGGGATTGCTGGCCTCTTCTAGAGAGAAGAGGGCAAACAGCTCCAGGTCCTTCTCCAGGCTTTGGGCAGGTTCTGCTGGACAACAGGGGACTGCCCCTTCCCAGGTGTGCAATTCCACTTGCAGCGTGAGGAGGCTATGGGAACACACTGTTGCTCTTCAATCCAGGAGTCCCAAGTGCTGTCATACTCTTTTCTGCTTGAGGGAGACACGCAACATGCAAGTCTCTTCCTCTGTGGTGCCCTGGCAGGAGTGGCAAGAAGGGCTGAAGCAAACAGCAGGCCTGAAGTGACCTGGGGCAGAGGGCACACGGGGACCACACCTTATTTCATGTCCTTTTTGACAATACAAACAAGAACTTTCACATTTAGGTCATTTCTAATGTCCTCTTGGTTCCTGCGGCTGTTAAACGTTCCTTGGGGTGAGAAAATTCTTTCCTGGCTGCAAGTTAGATTTTAGAAAAAGAGCAGATTGCCAATGGTAGCTATTTAAATTTTGTAAGAATGTAGGAATGCAATTATGTAAAAACTCAGGCTTACTACCTTTCCAATTGCTAGATCTATTTAAAGTCTAGGCACTTAGTGTGTGTGTGCGTGCATGCGTGTGCACGCGCGCATGTGAGAGACAGAATTTCAAGTGGATTAAGACTAAATCAAGTTGCTATAGAAAACTACCTATTACATCAGTTTACATTCTAAGTAACACTGCTGATCTTGACATTTAAAATAGCCCCCTTCTATCTTAGTTTGATATGATTCAAAAGAGATGGACCATTATTAATTCTCAACTAGATAAAAGCTACTCCCTGGAAGAGAGAGCTGCCTAAATCGTGCAAGTAGCACATCTTTTAAAAAAGATAGCAGGCTTCAGATGATGAAAACATGTGACTTCATCTGACTGGTTTTTAAAAGACCACATTTCAGAACAACTGATGGCGAATGTCTACTTGTAAACACTACATGTTTGTTTTTTGCACAGTCGAGACAGTCCCAGGAATAGTTTTCCACACGCGACCCTGAGCATCAGCCTGAGCTCTCTCACTGGCTCTACCCCTGCCTCGTCCAACTGCCGGATTGCCCCTGGACCTGCAATTAAATCAGTTTTTTCCTATGCAAAAGTAAAAAGTTAGATGCTGGCGCACAGATGAGAGAAACCGTCCAAGAAAGCTTGTGAACATGCAAATGAGTCAGATGCTCTGAGAGTTCCAGTCTTCTGCCCGCTTCACACAGCCTTTCCCTGCCTGCTCCTTCCCTGCAGAGGCCCTGGCAGCCACACCTCACTCACGGAGAGTCCCCAGCCCCAGCATCAAATGCAGGTCCCAGGCTGTGCAGGCGGCTGCTGCTTCCGGTTCCTCACAGCTCCTGACTTCTCTTTGTACACTATTGGCATCTGCTGAGAAATGTCCACCAGGGCACTGGCCACTGCAAGACCTTGGGAGAATGCACAGGGGGAGCACATGTTAGGGAGCAGCTTGCTTTTGTTTTCAAAAGAAATTTTAAGTTCTTTTTACATTCCCATGGTGCAATAATTAACTAAAGTATGTGGGAAGTAAAGTCTTACTTCCGCTCTGCCTCCCTCTGGGTAACTGCTTCATGAATTTGTATGTTTCAGGGTTTATTTATGCTGAGGCTCTCAGGAGCCACGTTAGTGCAGCTTGTTACCTCACCTTGTCAAGTCTATAAAATGGGTGAATGGGGACAGGATGGCTCTTAAGTGTCTGGTTTAATGCCTGGCCTGTAGTAGAGACTCCACACCAGTGACAACTGTTACAGCAAAGGCAGAGCTGCATGCTCTGAGAGTCCAGAGGATACCGTCTAAGATGGGCCTAGGAGAGGTGGCTGGGATGGCCCCACTCAGTGAGTCTCAAGTAGTGATCAGGCCTTCATCAGGAGTGAGGGGGGTGGGGCACGAAGGGCCATAGTGTTGCAAACCTGTCACCACCCCAGCCAACCTTGCCCTCAGGGAGCACCGGCGAACGTCTGCTGAGCAGGGTGGTGGCGGCAGGAGACACGGCTCCAGAGTGAGGTCAGTGAGTCATCCTGCTCTCAACATAGGCAAGGCTGAGTTATGGGTCAACACACAGAATCCCCTAAGTGAATTCCCTATGAACTAAAGACAATAAACCCTGGCCTGGCTGTGCCTAGAGGACTTCACAGACCCACACCCTACGGAAAGCTAAGCTGGAGGTCCGTCTGCACCTGAGGGCTGACCTCAGAAGGCTGCGGAGCTCAGAGCCTGGGTAAGGATTCTAGGACACTCTTTCCTCACAGACACAAGGTTTCCTTTGGCTAAGGCAACCCTGACCCCTGACCTCCAGAATCATTTCAGCTGAAAGTTGTCTAAAACATTCATATTGCCTGAGGTATCCCTCCAAAGCACTCCATGATCAGTCAAGATCCTTCCAAAACTGAACTCCATATTTCTTTAGTGTTCCACAATAAGGGAGTATTTACCTAATTATGATTCATACATGGAACAGTGTAAAAGACAATGGTAAAATATTATGGACTAAACTATAAAAGTGTTTATGATAGTTATGCAAGAATAAAAACTAGAGCTATAAAATCATTTCAACTAAATTGCTGGCCAGGGCTGGAAAGAGAACAATGAAAATTGGTGGATGCTGGAGTAGAACTATGAGTAAAATTTTCAAAACCTTTCTTTAGGTTGTTTAATTGCTATTCATGCCTTAAATTTAAAATAAGAGTAGAAAAGTAAACTTGAAATGGATCAAAGACCTGAATGTAAGTCATGAAACCATAAAGCTCTTAGAAGAAAACATAGGCAGAAATCTCTTAAATATAAGCATGGGCAACTTTTTCCTGAACACATCTCCTTGGGCAAGGGAAACAAAAGCAAAAATGAACAAATAGGACTATATAACTAAAAAGCTTCTGTACAACAAAGGACACCATCAGCAGAACAAAAAGGCATCCTACAGTATGGGAGAATATATTCATAAACCACATACCTGATAAGGGGTTAACATCCAAAATATATGAAGAGCTCACATGCCTCAACACCCAAAAAGCAAATAACCCAATTAAAAAAATGGGCAGAGGATATGAACAGACACTTCTCCAAAGAAGAAATTCAGATGGCCAACAGGCACATGAAAAGATGCTCCACATCACTAATTATCAGGGAAATGCAAATTAAAACCACAATGAGATATCACCTCATACCAGTTAGGATAGCCAACATTGAGAAGACAAGGAACAACAAATGTTGGC